AAGCTGTAATGAAATGCTTCTTCTAATCATGTGGTTATTAAATTTAATAAATAATTAAAAAATAATTCTTCAAAGCATAAAAACTTGTTCTTTAACAATTAGTAGATGTGAAAAACATTACCATTGAAATCTACCTGACTTTATATCCATGCTCAGGTGCCAAGGAGCTCAGAAAGTAACCGACTGTCACTAGTAATAATCAGATAGAGATTAGAAATGCATGTGCAAACATCTTAGTGTTAATTGCATTAAAAATGATTTTTTCTGTATAAAAATGTGTATTTTAATAATGAAATGGGGATCTTTTTTAAAGGTTAAAAAGTTATTTAATTTTATGTCTTATAGGGTTTATACTGATTACACTATTGTATAACTGTATTAATTCAACTGTAAACCTGAAAATTTACAGCCAATTTTGAAAGAGATGCATCTTAGCTCTGGAAATTGTTATTGAATATGTCAATGCTGTTGTAATGAAATGCTTCTTCTAATTATGTGGTTATTAAATAATTTTAAAAATATTTACAAAATCTGTGGGTTGGAGAGATGGCTTAGCGGTTAAGAACACTGTTCTTGCAGAAGACTCAGGTTCAAATCCCAGCACCCACATAGCAGCTAACGACTGTCCGTAACTCCGGTTCCAGGGGATCCGACCGCCTCATCTGTCCTCCATGGACATTGCACGACACAGGTGCACTCACCTACATGCAGGCAATAACACATAAAATAAAAATGAATAAAATATTTTTTTCAAATTTACAAAATGAATGAAGCATTACATGTAGTGTTGGATGACTTAATGATTCCAACTAAAGGTAAAGATGAATGGGAGACAGGTCACATGTCATTAAGAGAAATGAGGAAGTACATACTATTTTAAGGACAGGGAGGAAAGATGGTCAATAACAAATTTTCATTATAATCCCCTCCCCCAGACTTTTCTATTGATATATACACTAACTGTTCTCCTTTGGGGGCTTGAGATTTCAGCAGGATGTGAGGACTACAGTGGTAAGCAGCCTCTCCAGCAGACAGTGTACTACTGCATGGTCTGAGTTCTGCACATGCAGAATCAAGGACTTAGTGCTATTCTTCAATAAGAAACCTGAGCTGGGTCACTCATTCACTAAATATTTAGTGGGCACCTACTATGTGCTCTGCACTGCTCTAAGCAGTGGTAGGGAAAGGAGCCACATCCATGAACACAGTGACTGTTCCCTTGTTTATGTGCTGTAGGGTAGAGGAGGTGTGAGGACGGGGCCAGGTGTCTTGGGGAACAGAAATTTTAGAAGGCAATAAACAGCACCTTGCAGAACACTACTCTGACTCATCTGTCCTTTGAGCCTGAGCAGGGGCAAGGCAGGCGGTGGAGTCCAGGACTGCAGTTTTGACAGCTCTTACCTTGGGCTCCCTCTCCACAACTCCTGCACCAGATCTAGAGTTACAGTCCTGGGGCATTTCCAGACCTTTAACCTTTCTATCCTATTATGGTAGCTGGTGCCAAAGTGGGTCAACTGGAGGAGAGAAGAAAAACAAATTAGATCAAAGACCTTTAATATTGGTCTTTACTCTTGGGACTTCCAGTAAGTCAATCAAGAAATAATGAGTGTGAAGTCAAAATATGTTGTTAGACAACACAGATTCTAGGATAAGTTATGTGCACATTTTAAGAATGTCTTCAGTTTGGATAGAAAACTATGAACTATACAGTATTTGAGATGATAAAAAATTACATAGAAACCCATGGCCATGAAGAGACCTGTTTATTACTGATAACATTTCATGGTTAAAACCACAGAAATCCATAGATACATAAAGTGCAAATTCTCACAGGCAGTACTTTAACAGACCCTGTTATTTTCACAGGGCAAATGGGATGTTGACAGAAACTTAAACAAGAGCACACTGCCGAGCTACTATTACATACTTAGAAAGATAAAGAATCCATTATTAACTATATATTTATCTGTCATAGTCAATGATATATACCAAGAGTTTATTCTAGCTTACAAGTTTCACTATATGTAGATATAGACCTTTTTTTGGGCCTGAGTGACCCCAGTTAAGACACATGATAAATGATAATATTGGACAAAACACATCAAATTGTAAAATAGTATCAAATTAGTTGTGACTCACTTGAAACTTGGGGCTATTAGGTTCAAAGCGCATTTAGAGAGTGATATTGAGTTCACATAGACACATGCTTAACCTTCCTGGCCAACACCTTGCTTTGTAAGCAAAATACTTTGCTTATATATGATTTTTCATGTAGAAAGATGCTCTGCACGCCCCAATTAAGGGTGTGCATCTTAGTAAACATCACTTACTATAAATTTCAGTATTTTTAAAAATCTAACTTAAAAATTACTGATTTCTTTTAAACTATTTTTTATTAAGATAAATTCCCTTAATTGCTGTTACCACCAATTAAGCATTACATAACAGAAGGTATTGAATAAGGTGGTGTAGCTATGAAAAATAGCTGACACGAGGGCTAGGAATGCCAAAGAATTAGAGAGAACTGGCTTATACCTCAGACACTATTATAAGGTTCAAGTGTAAAATAACTGTTTCGGGTCCATTTAATTTGGCATCGATACTTCAGAAGTAGGTTAGAAAGGGCAGAGACTATCCTAGAATGTGTATTATCATATTTAAGTCACTCCAGGGGAATGCTGCAATTGTGGGAAGGGGTGGTCATATGTGTTCAGGAGCTGAGGGGCCCGGTGATAAACACATGCTCCTTTCGCATGCTTTCTTTTTCTGCTGCTGGGGATCGTACCCAGGGCCTTAGGCCTGCCAGGCAATCCTCCACCGCTGAGCTATATGCCCAGGTCCCTCTGCTCCTTTATGGTAGACAAGTTTCACTGAAGACAGAAGATAATTTTTATACTAAACAGTTTTATTATAAAAAATTCAAAATTCACTTGTACTCTAAGTCAAGGCCAGAACAAGAACCTCATCCTGTGGTAGCTTCTTCGGGTTTTTCCAGGGCCCATTCCCCCTTCTTCACACTCCTCTGCTTTAGGGTTCTGCTGGTGGAAAATTTGAGAAGCAAAGTCTGGCCACCTGCTCCTATCTTAGTCTCTTAATTCATTTAAATAGATTTTCTGTTTAAAGTAGATCATCTTGAATTAACAAAGAGGAAAGATGACCTGTTGGATGTACTAATATGGTGAATATTTAAAAATAATAATCACTGATTTTGTTTCTAACTGGAACTCAGCTAGTGCTTTGTGAAGTCAATGTGCCACTCTCTTACTTTAGATTTTTTTGGGTTCTTTTTTTGTTTGATTGGTGTTTTGAGACAAGGTCTTACACAATAGCTCAGGCTAGCCTAGATCTTACTATGTAACCTAAGCTGGCCTTGAGCTCACAGCAATTCTCCTGCCTCAGCCTCTCGCTGGGATCACACATATGAACTATCACACCCCATTCTCTATTCAGACTTCTTCTGGCTTATGGAAAAATGCTTTGAGGGTCAAATGTGAAAAAGATTTCCTCAAATTTTTGTGCTTTGACTACCCAAAGCACAGAGAACCCTCAACAAATGCTAAGTCAACTGACTACTTTGGTCAATATGACTCACCATTGCCTTGTCAGTTTCGAAAGCAAACTCAGAAAACAAGTGAACTGTAAAAGGCCACAGTAATTTCATATAGTAGTACCCAGGCAGATCAAAAACAGGCTTTGAAATATTTAAAAATGACTTTTTACAGTGTTAAATATTCTGACAATAATAACAAAATAACAGTCTATAAACAAACAAGCTTAAAGCCTTCTGAATGAACACAGTTAGGTTTCTTTACCAGTGAGGTAACAGGGCAGTAGCATTTCACAGTAACAAAATGTGGAAGAATGCTTAGGGAAAGAGGGAGGTAGAGCAAAAACGGCATAAAATTAAGTGTATCAAAGTGGAATTCAGGTTTTTCAAGATTTATAAACATCAGGGGAAAACACTGGGGGGAAAATACCAACAGCAGCATTCAAAGAACAGCTCCCCCAAGAGATGCCAGCTTATAGCCTCTGGTGCATCAGTTCCAGAAGCATCTTAACAAAAAGGAGGTCTGTTTCCAATGTGCAGATATTCAAAGTATCCAAGCTCTCAGGATCTCTCTTCTGGAGTTACTACTACATTCAAATGATGACACTTTATATTTGGAGTTAAACCTCAAATATCTTATAAAGCTACAGATTCTTCAAGGTAAACACAACTGTGTTCAAACCTTAGAGTCTTCAAGGTGAGACGAAAGACACACCTGAGCAGTCCTCACTCACTGACCCACGCATCTACCACTCAGAACATATACAAATCATTCTGGGGGTTAATTCTAGACATGGAGTGAAACCCCAAAGTTACTGTTAGTGCTCTTTACATCATTCTTGTTTTAAAAATCAACTTGATTCTTTAAAAATCTGTTTGAAGGAAACTTTAAATAGCCATTTGGCATGTTCCTTGATATTCAAATTTTTTATTCCATCAAAAATAAAGTTTCAAGTAGGTTTTATGATAATTTCTAACCAAGAAGTTCTTACCTCCTAAACATTTCATGCTGCCCATTCCTTGTTTACTGAGAATTACACACATATGTAGACTGTACTGTGAGCATACCTGCCCCATTACCTCCCCCTTGGCTGTCTTCTCCACTAGCCCCTCCTACCACCATTTACAATTTTTTTTAGTACAGATCTTGTCTATTACTTCCATGTCCTTATTCTCTGTCTTCTCTAGATGAGAACAGTATGACATTAGGACTTCTTATTTTGAGTCCTTCAGAAAAGGTCCTGATTAGTAACTTAGGACTTAGTAAATGAGCTCAACAGCTTTCTCTGTTCTAGAGTTAAATGATCATGAGTCCTACAACTTTTCCTCACAAGTTTTACTTTTCAACCCACAGTTTATTTTTTAAATTGTGCTTGATCTCCTCTCTAGGTCTCATATGATTCTGATGTAGCACCCTAGCAGGGATTCAATCCACACTAAGGATGCTTTTCCTCACTTCCTAGAACTGGGCTTCTTTTCACTGATCCCTACTGAAGGAAAACAGGTTCACTGCTCACCGTAACAAATAAACTCAAGTAAGCAGCCTTGCACACTGTTTCTCCCCCACCATTATAAAGCTGGGTTTGTCCTGTGCTGTGATTACTGGTCTTTATACTGTTTATTGGTGTCTACTGATTTCCAATTTATGCTTTGAATTTGTTCCATTAACAATGATTCTCCTTTTCTTTGCGTTGCCAGGGATTAAGCGCAAGCTCTTGTACAAGCTACATGAGTGCTTTACCACTGAGCTATAGCCCCAGCCTATAATTTCTTTTCCTCAAAGCTCCAGAAAATACCTGTTTTATTTGCTCAACGAGAACTATTCACATCCATGCTACTGCTTTAATAAAAGCAGATAAACAATTAGTGCCCAAGGCTGAGACCCACAGAACGGCACTGTTTGTTGGGCTGTCATTGAATTTATTCTGGTAGGCAAGTGTGTACCCATTGTGTCAAGTTCATGTTAAGTATGCTGAGACAGATTCAAGAGTTTGAGTAAGATCCAATAGCTCCCTCAACCTGGATACTTTGGAAACCTTTATAACATTTTGTGAATTTTAATTTGCAATTTATTTTTTTGGAGATAAGAACCCAAACGTCAGTCACCTTTTACCTTAAAAGCATGTTGTATATGCTAAAGCATTCAAACAAAAGTACTTTCTTCATAAGCAAATGGCAATCCTGACATGGCTTTAGTGATTACGAATGGGCTGTCACATCACATTAGTTTCATTTTGTTCTTGGGTCACTGGAACACAGATGCTAAAACCAAATACACATGTTTTTCCATATATATAACTTTGTTCAAATCACTTTGTAGAATACATGTCATTTCCTAATTACAATTTACATTCCTAAAAGCCAATAAAACAAAAAATGCTTTATGCATTTTAAAAATAAAACAAAAAATTCTACGCTTCTCGAGTGCGAAGCCTTTAAAGCAAAGTCATGGAGAAAAGGTCAGTGTACAGTACAAGCTATGATCCACAGTTGTATAGGACCCAGCTATGAGACAGAAAGGAAGGAACAAATTAACAATAGCCACAACATAATCTGCAAACTACGTTTGGATTATATGAGCTCAAGCCAAACTAGCTGATAGCTGCAACAAGCCACGACTTAACTAATATTTGAATCACTTTAGACTTTACATACTACTACTTTTAGGAAATAAATTATCTAATTATCTACTATCAGTGCTGTCTCCTATATGAAACTTTGTTTAAATTGTTACAACCAAGGCCTTGTTATTGTTACCCCAACTATACCATGTGTATTCTATAAACTATACACATCAACATAAATTTACAATTTGTGTGTGTGTGTGTGTGTGTGTGTGTGTGTGTGTGTGTGTGGTTTGAGACAAAGTCTCCCTGTTGCCCCAGCTGGCCTAGAACTAGCTATGTAGACCAGGCTAGCCTCATCCACCTGCCTTGGCCTCCTGAATGTTGGGATTAAGGGTGTGTGCCACCACACCTGGCTCAAGAATCTTAGACAGTACTCTGCTGGGGCTTTTCAGTAGAACAGAGGATCAACCAAAAGTGACTTTCCTAAAAAGTTTTTTCATAATTAAAAAAAAAATAGTATTTATGTGATCAGAAATTCCAGAGAAGTCAGCAAGATAGTAAAACAAATTGAACCTTAGTTTTAAACACCAGTTTTAGTTTTTCACAACACTAATATTTCCCATCCAAGCACTGACCAGGCTTAACACTGCTTAGCTGCTGAGATCAGATGAGCCTGGCCATTGAATCAAAGTGGTACGGCTGTAGAAAATCCTTAAGTCTTGATGTTTCATTTCTTAATAAAATTAGCATTGCTTTATCAGATAAAATAAATCCATGTACAAAAATGTAATTTAACAGGACTGTCAAATAAATGTAGAGCTCATTCTGCAGTTCAGATTTTTTTCTTTAACATAGTGAAGTTCTAATAACTGATAGAATCCTAAGATGTAGATTCAACTCCAGTAAACCAGATTATATTAAGATCTTTTTCTACAACCATAGGATTTTAAAGTCAACAAATCTATTTTCTATAGAGGAAGCACCTATATATTTGGAAGATTTTCCTTAACTATCTGAAAATGGACTGATAAAATTCTATCCAATGCAGGAACATTGTTTTAGTCCATACCCAACCCTGAGAAAGCATTGAGGAATTTAACAGGAACAAAGCCACCACAAGTGCTGCCACTATTGCTTAATGTTCATAAACATCAATCTTAAACACACAGTAAAACACTGCACCAAGAAAACTTGGAAGTGAGGTACAAAACCACATCTTGTAACATCTGTACTAATTAGGAAAGCAAAATAATCTAAGATTTTTTTTGAGATGGGAGTCTCACTATGTAGCCCAGGCTGGCTTCAAACTAACTAATAATCCTCCTGCTTCAGCCTCCAGAGGGCTATGAATACAGGAATGTGCATCAAGCTGGGCTTCTAATGTGCAAATCAACACTTACGACATAACAATGCCACATTTCCTTAATGGACTAGAAGAGTACTTTCCCCCACTCCTACCTTTATGAATTAATTTCCTCAACTAATCCTATAATCATATAATATTTATTTGACTTTTTAAAAACATGCTATACACAATTACAAGATATGGAACTAAGCTTATCCACAGTTCAATAATAAAATTCACTTCTGAACTGTTTGTGTCAGAGGAAGAATGATGTGCCACTGAAACACTTAAATGTAAGGACTTTCATTCAGGATTGTGAAATAGTTGACTTCTAAACATCTTCATTTCAAATGTATATAATTTGTTTAGCCAGCTGAACAGAAGAAAGAAAAAGGAAAAGCTACTCTGCTAGATGAGAGAGAATTCTAACACAAGGTTCAGTGCATGGAGCTCCTGGACGTTTGGTTTCATGTGCCAAGTTGTAAGGTATTTCTGTATCCCTACGCAGACCGCCAGATCAGTCCGTTCTTACTGGGTTCCAGAAAATTCTCTATCAGAGCCTCAATGAGCTTCTTTAATTCTTCCTGCAGTAAGGCAGTGTCACTGAGGAAGAAAGATAAAAATTTTGAAATTTTTATTTTCATAGCCTTAAAATTTATTTTCATGCTGGGTGTGGTGGCATACACCTTTAATCCCAGCACTTGGGAGGCAGAGGCAGGCGGGCCCCTGTGAGTTCAATGCCACCCTGGTTTACATAGTGAGTTCCAGGACAGCTGGGGCTACAGAGAGACCCTGTCTCAGAAAGACCAAAAAAAGAAAAAAAAAAAAAAAAAAAAAAAAAAAAAAAAAAAAAAAAAGACTCCCTCAAAAAATTCATGTACAAAGAAAATAACCATCAAAAACCAAAATTGAATGCATTACTAGGTGTTCCCTGGTCCATGATAAAACATGAGTTAAGTAAGTCTAGGGAAATCTGGTTTAGGCAATTTAATAGCTTCGACCACCAATACTGATAAAATGGCTCCCTGCAGTATTTTGAAGGATACTTGGTACAGGTCACATGGAATAATATGGCATATGTACCAGAAAGGAGTGTGTTTAAAATGAAATGGGGGCTGGAGATGGCTCAGGGTTAAGAGGACTGCTGCTCTTAACCAGGGTTTAGTTCCTAGCACCCACACAGCAGCTGAAAACTGCCTATAACTCCAGTGCCAGGAGATCCAATGCTCTCTTCTGGCCTCTGTGGGCATTGCATGCATATGATGCACTTATACATATACTTATACAGGCAAAACACACATAAAATAAGTTTTAAAAAAGAATGAGATAGTTATAAACAACTAAGTATACACTTACATGTAATCCCTTCAAAAAAATCATGAGGAGCTGCTGTAGCCCAAAAATGCTTCTAGAGAAGCTTCTAGCAACTGTCTTCACAATCATTTTACAAGCTATACAACAAATCTGCTTTTATTACTTTAATAATTCTTCACTTTTAACCTAAAATGGAATCACCTCATTTGATAGCTATGAACCTGCTCTGAATGTCAGGAGGTCTTTTTCCTCTCCAGTGAAAATAAAATTTTGATACAGTGACATTGGGGAATACAAAATAATGTATCCTAGTTGTGTTTTGAAAACAATAAAAAAAAAACTCCTTCCCCAAAATTCATTGGTCAATGATAATATTATAACAACAACTTTAATACATTTAAATAACTTTTGATATGTTTATTAAACAGGAAAACAATTTGTGACAAACCAAATTCATACTCCTAGGAAATGAGCTGAGCAGATTATACTAAACCATGGTAGACACAGAAAACAAATACTTGGCAATAAATGCAGATTATGTGTTGGTTACTTATGTTCATCATACAAAATTAAATCTGATAGTCTTCCCAAGAACAGAAATTTACTACAACTTTAAAATTCAATTCTCAAAGGATATACCTTCTTTGGAAAACAGTCTGGCAGTTTCTCAAACGTAAAACACAGTTGCCTTAGGACCTAGCAATTCTATTCCTCCATATATATCTAAGAGAAAGGAGTGCTCATATCTACACAAACTCATTCTCAACTCTTCATAACAGTATGGTTAATGGCTTAAAAGCACAACTATTCTGACTGTCCACTGATGAGTGGAGTAAAAAACATGCCACTACACAGTTAACAGAAAATTTGGGGGCTAAAGATGATTTCAGCCACAAAGGGCCACATACTGTATTCCATTTATATGAAATGTCTGGTAGGCTCATGTGCTGCATGCTTGGTCTTCAGATGTTGGTGCTGTTGGGTGGGGCCCACCTGAAGGAAAGAGATCACTGGTGGTGTGCTTTTGAAGGTTACACCTGGCCCCTTCCCCCTCCATGTTCCCACTTCCATTATGTTCAGCTTTGCCTTGGATCCAGAGTAACAGACCCAAGCAGCCATGAGCTGAAACCTCTGAAAGCATGATCCCAGATATGTGTTTTCTCTAAGTGTTCCACAGCAACAATAAGCTTAACCCAGGCCGAGTATCAGCAAATCCATGGAAAAGGGCAGGAGACTAGTGGTTGCTTAGGCTGTGAAGGACTTCCAGTGGGAATGGCGCTTCCTTCTAGAGTAATGAAAATGTTCTCAAGTTGATCGCAGTGATGGTTAGACAGCTCTGAATATACTAAAAACTAGCTTTTTACATTTTAAATGTGCAAACTGTATGGCATATATCTTAATAAAGTTTTTACATATATATCTAAAAATCAGTTCTCACCTCTGGTCAGGTGATGCACACATCTCCGCATAATACTTTATCTTTGGCTCGGTCCCACTTGTACGAAGAGTAGCAACACAGCCATTTTGGAAAGTAAATGTAATCATTTGGCTGTTTTTACTCACAGGCAGTGCCTATGCAAAATGCAGCAACAGCTTACACATGGAATCTTCATTTTCAAGGATTATAAAGTACATCCCACTTATATGAAGCATCTAAAGTAGTCTAGCTCACACAAAGTAGACAGGTGGTTGCCAAGGGCTGGGAGCTGGGGGATAGCAAGTTGTTTAATGATCATATACAGAATTTTATTTAACAAGGTGAAAAGGTTCTGGAAATCTGTTGTTTAATAATATGAATATATTTAACACTGTAGAACTGTATATTTAAAAACGGGTAAGATAAAAAAGATGACATGAAGTCTTGAGGGAGACGGGCTGGGGGCCCTGGGGGGAGTTGGAGGGAAATAGTGAGAAGGGGTATATAGGGTCAAAATACACTGTATATACGTATGAAATTTTCAAAGATAAATAAAATGTACTATTAAAACTGGGTAAGATACACACATGGGTTAAATACATTACTGGAATCTTGAAACAACATCTGAAGATTGCAAATGGGAATTTAGACTGGTGGTTACCATCATAACAGCAGCAAAGTGAACATGATAAGCAACTCACACATAGGCATTTGCTGAGCACTACTACACAGGCAGGAGCTTTGAGAGGCATGGAGGAAATGGACCTGCCACATACAACACAATGATAACATAGGTATCAAGAAAGTTGTGTATTTTGTAAGCTCACAAGGAAACTAACTGATTATGGAACCTGGAGGTCAGAGGGAGGATGTGACAAATACCTCGAGTCTTTTCTGCATCAGGCTGGCTAGGTGTCTATCACCATCAGCCCCTGCTTTAAGCCTTAAATAATGATTAGGTATGAACCTACAGGACAAAGGGAGGAAAGGTAAACTAAGGCTAACAACTTGACTAAATATATACAAAACCCTTAAAACGTGTGTAGGAAGTCACCCGGTTCCTCTGTTTGTCTATAGGTATAGGGTGCAAGGCTGGAAAGGCAAGTTAAAATTAGAAAAATGTAGGGCTCTGAAATGACTAAGCTTTTTGCTTTGTAGACTTCATTTTCAACATCACTGTCACTGCACGTTCTCTCTCCCATCTATTCCTCTTCTAGCCTGTTCCCCCTGCCCCAGGGAGTAGAGATGATCTGGGGAGTGATGAGAGTCAGAGATCTGATGGTGCCTCAAACCACTGGGGCAGAACAATGGGTCCTACCTCAAGAAACTAGAGGTCACTCTTATTATAGCATGACTTATTACAAATTGTTTAGAAGAACTTTTCTTAAAAAACAGTGCTTCTTCAGGAATGTCAACTTCTACTGAACACAGGGTCATGCTGGGAGGGTGGGCATGGAAGAGTGCATAGAAAGTCTTGCCTGACATCTACCTCTTGCCTGTGAATCTCCTCTATCTGGCTGCTAAACTGTGACCTTTATAACAAAGTAGAAAACATGAGCAAACTGGCTTGAATCTTACGTGACACCTGTCCTAGCTCTAGACTTTTTGGTGACATGAGCCATGAAGTTGTCTTCATTATTGAAACAAAGAAAAGGTACTTACTGATTTCTTACTAGGCTGGCTGCTGTCATATCCAGTGGTAATGTCCCGTACATGCAATATAGCATATGCCCCACAGAATTTTGGATATTCTTTTGGAGACTCAAAATTACGAATCTTTTCAAATATATTTTTGATGGTAGGTGGGTCATAGCACAAGAAATACGAAGTTTTTGACATGTGATAACCATATCTGTACAGAAATTTAAAGCTAAAGTCAGATCTGAGATAACTCTTGAGAGAATGTTAAAGATAAGCCTATCATAATATTTTATAGACAGTGAAACTGACAATTTTTTTTTTTTGGTCTTATTGAGACAGGGTCTCCCTGTAGCCCCAGCTGTCCTGGAACTCACTATGTAGACCAGGCTGGCCTTGAGCTCACAGAGATCCGCCTGCCTCTGTCTCCCGAGCGTTAAGATTAAAGGTATGCGCCACCATGCCTGGCCACTGACAATTTTAATAGTAAAGAAACCTGATTGATGTTCAAAAATAAACCAAGCATATGATCAAAAACAAGGCAAGCAAGCAAGGAAGATGTGGCACGTGAAATTCATAAAAGAACTTACTTTTCATAAATCTTACTCAGTTGCTCTGTCAGCCTGACATTCCTGGTTTCCAGGAAAGAGGCCATCTCAGCAACAACAACAGCTGCGCTCACCCCATCTTTATCCAACACTGAGGTTCCACAGAGAAAACCTGGGGGTTATAAAGAGTCTTTAGAAAAGGGGAAAACTACACTGTAAACCTACAATTTCAACAGTTTTACATTTCTTCCCAAGGAAGGACCAGTGAATGAGGAGCTCAGTATTGAGTCAGGCGTGGTAAGGCTTGATTGTATCCCAGCACTCAGGAAGCTGAACCAGGAGGATAATGGTTCAAGGCCAGCCTCGGCTACATAGCAAGCAACCAAATGAAAAAGAAACATTAACAGATGGCTCAGCAGTTAAGAGCACTGGCTGCTCTTGCAGAGGACCTGGGTTCAATCCCCAGCACCCACATGGCGGATAGCAATCATCCTTTTAACTCCAGTTCCAGTGGGATCTGATGCTCTCTTCTGAAGACACGAGTGCACTTAAATACATGCAGGCAATACACTCATACACAAAAAATAATAACAAATAAAATATTTGAAAACCATTAACAACAGAAAAACAAAGACAAAAAAGATCCAACTCCACAAATGTCTGGCAACAGAAGGTACTTAGGAGGCCCTAAGGCTCTTTTCTGATGGAAAATGCACCTACATATTGTTGAGTTCTCTGCAAAACTCAGTATTAGAACCAGAAGGTAAAAATCTCCTTTCTCACATACATGCAGGCAATACATTCATACACATAAAATAAAAAAATAATAAAATATTAAAAAAAGCTCCTTTCTGTAGAATTACCATATCTAAAAAAATGCTCTCAATCAAGAGACTTTCAATATTTACTACATACCAATAGACTCTTCAAATGCAAAAAGGACTTCTTTCCCATTTTCAAGGAGGTCTTTTATCCTACTTCCAATCCATTTAAATCCTGGTAATGTTTCCTGAAATGTAGAGGGGGCCACTGTAGCTAAATGACACTCATGAACACATTAAAGAAAAAGGCTAACACTAAATGCACATAATCCCTGTATCGTGATCTGTCCTTATAGTGTTGGTCCATAAAGATTGATATAGTGGCAAATACAGAGTCACAAAGTACTGTAACTATACAGATACCCACTAATGACCCACTAGCACAGCAACAGGTGATTTACACCAAATAGAATGTGTTTATAAATGATGATAGAGATAAAAGTAACAGAACTATATACATGTTATGATCATCTACTACTTATTAAGTACCATAACATGTGCTTTACATCATTTTTGCTAATGCTCACAAACAGCAGTGCCATAACAGAGGTTCAGAGATTAGGCAATTTTCCCAAGACTGTCCATCTAAGAGATGGAGGCAGGGTTTAATTATATTCTTTGAGTTACAGTATAACCACTAACATAAGTGCTCATAAAGGATGCGATTTAGTCTCCCCAAGTAATCAAAAACCATTACATTTTTAGTGACGTAACTTAAGTGCACCATATGCTTGAACTGAGTGTACCTCTCCATAATACTCTGACCTACATAAAGCCTTTACTGAGCCCTTCTCCAGTAATTAGATTTGAGGATATTTTTTGTCTGATGAGCTACTGACTAAAGCTATGCCCTGCTTTAGTCTCAACAGAAACAGCACATGATATATTAATTCTAGAGCTTACGTCACTAATCTGTTTCCTAATTCACTTTTCTACTTCCTCTCCAGAAAGCAGAAAAAAAACAACCCCCCACAGCAAAAACAAATTTATATTGGGCTTTAGAATTGTGTCCCTTTCTTCCTTCTTCTATGCTATCTTTTTCTTGTTATAAATAAGTATAATGTTAACATTCTCACAATTCAGAATCTTAGGCTTGAAAATACTGCCTCAGTTGATATTTGTGTTTATATAAGCACAATGTTTTTGCCTTTTTGTGTGCACATTTTTGTATGAGATGGCCAATGTATGCCACAGTGTACATTTGGATGTAAGGGTAGAACCTTGGGTGATGGTCTTGACTGTCCCACCTTATTTCATCCTGGGTCTCTCTGTTGTTTGCTGCTGCATTCACCAGGCTGGCTGGACCACCAGCTTCAGGGGATTCCCCTGCATCAGCCTCCCATCTCGCCACAGGAACACTCGGATGACAAACATGCCTACTGCACCTGATCTTACATTGATTCTAGGGATTCAAACTCAGGTCCTCTTGCTTGCAAGGCAAGCACTTTTACCCACTGAGCCATATCCCCAACTTACAATATTCTATTATATAACCAATTAGTATTAAGATCCATAGTCTGACAAGACTCAAGAAATATGCCACTTTTACTGATATTTGACAAGAACAATGGAGGAACAATAACTGACATTAGTTCAAGTAGCTATAAGTAACTACCTGAGGTCTACAAAGGTTAATAATCTGGGCTAAGAGTACTGCTTGTTTTCTAGATGCATAAACTCTGAATCTTAATTTGCAATTTAGAGTTCTACTTAAGGTAGTAAGTCTTAATATTGTGTTTGATGAATCTAAACAAAGAGTCAGTGTGAGTGAGAAGATTTTGGAGTAAAGTCTGTGTTACTGATTTTCCCAGTCTAAAGATGTTGTATGCTCCCATCCCCAGGCAATGGTATATGGACAAGAAATGTTAATGTAATGTTTTGAAGAGTATCTCATCTTAGTCAAAAATTCACATATACCCTGACTCAGGGTGTCTAAACTGGGGGAATTATAAATGAAGTCAAAGTCAGTTTGGGTACAGAGATGTCTTAATAGAAATAGGTTTAGAAAAGTAGCACGCAGATATGATCTATTCTTACTTCAAAATGAAATCCTTCCTTAAGTGCAATTGCCTTTAAAATTTTAGAAGAGACTGTGGTAGCTAGCATATAAACATTCTTCACATCAGCATTCGATTTATTTTTCTTCCAGCAATCAAACATCCACCACCCAAACAAAGCTGCCAACTCATTCCCTGAGAAAACCTTCCAGTGGCCGCTGTAGAGAGAATGAAAATTCAAAGTCAAGCTCTTCATAGCTTCTTACAAAAACTTCTCAACTCTAAGACCTTAAAATCATCTGCGTTCAGATGGAAACCCCCAAAGCTATGACATGGAACTTCTGAGAAAATGTTTATTCCTTTTTTGTGGTATATGTGAATGTACGCGTTTATGTATATACAAATGTGTGTGCATGTGTGTGGAGACTAGGGGTCAATGTTGAGTAATTCCTCCTGCCCTCTCCACCTTATTTTTGAGACAGGCTTTCTCACTGAATCTGGAGCTCATCAATTCAGCTAGATTGGCTGGCCAATGAGCTCCATGGATCCCCCTGTCTCTACTTCCCATTCCCCCATACAGATTACACAGACTCAGCTTTTACATGCGTGTTGGGGACCTGAACTCTGGTCCTTACACTTACACGGCAAGCACTTTACTCACTGAACCATCTCCCCAGTCCCTATTTCTTTCTTTCTAATTGACCAGGGTAACCTTTAGGGTTGGAACAGCAGTAATATCTTTGGAAAAAATTGTTACTTTTATTCTTGTACTTATGGAAAAAAAATATAACGAATATTTAAGTCTTTCTTTGGAAAAACACATAGCAACCTAGAGGACCAAAATTAAGAAATGACTATTTCTTGCCAAAGCAATTTATTAGAATAGTGTGCTATTCTGTGGGGGCTGGAGAGCTGGCTCAGCGGTTGAGAGCACTGGCTGTTCTTGCAACAGACCCGGGTTCGATTACCAGCACCCACATGGTGGCTAACAACCACCCATAACTCCAGTTCCAGCCTTCTTCTGTCCTCCGTGGGCATTGCACAACATGGGTGCATTTACACACATGTAAGAAATACACTCATACTCATAATAAATTTTAAAAAAGGATATTGTGCTATTCTCAAATACTTTCGAACAATGTGCAAGAACAGGAAAAACTGCTCAGACACAACTGAAGTGGAAAATAAGATATAAAACTATGTGTAATATGACGATAATTTTGTAAAAATAGATACATCTTTATTTTAGTAGAAAAAACAGCAATAGCAAAGAAATGTCAAAGTACTAACCTCGGAGGTCACCTCTGCCTTACACAAGACTCACGTCCTTCTCATCATACTTTTTCTTTATTCTCAATGAGCCTATAAAGATTTAAAATAAAAAACTACCCTTTAAAGCACAAGCATCTTACGGTACTCACTTCTCCTGAAGCTCGGCCACCGCCAGCCGGTCTGCATCAGGATCTGTGGCTAGCACTATCCGGGCCTTTTCTTTCTCTGCCAGTCTCAGGGAAAGTTCCTAAAACAGTAACCCAAAAAGCTAGATTGTATTGAAGAACCTAAATTCAGTGCTGATATTCTTAAACATAGACACTATGTCAGTGATGTAAATTTTGGAAGGTACGTAGTCTGTTAAATTTAAAAAGAGAAACAGAACTAGGACCACCCACTACAGAGATTTTGAACAAAACAAATTATGGCTCCAATGCAATTTAAAAGGTGCAAGTTATAGTGCTCTGCATGCAGTATGTCACACATGTGAGTCATCCTTACACTGTCAATGAGGTCCCTCTAGACTGATGGCCAATAAGCTAATAAGAATTTAAATATTGGGGGCTAGAGAGATGGCTCAGTGGTTAAGAGCACTGGCTGCTCTTGCAGAGGACCCGGGTTCAATTCCCAGCACCCACATGGTGGCTACAAACCATCCTTAACTCCAGTTCCAGGGGAATCCAAAGCCCTCTTCTGACCTCCATGGCATTGCACAACATGGGTGCACTCACATACATGCAGGCAATACACTCATACACATAAAAATAATAAAATATTTAAAAAAAGAATTTAAATATTAAGAAAATACCAGCACAGATTCTCCTTCTTCGGGGTTTGGACACTTAACAGTAGAAAAGTCTGGATCCGGATCTTTTTGTTCTGGGACTGGAATCGGAGGCTTAAAACCAAACACTTGAAAAGCCAACTGCACATAGTCATGTCCAACTCCATGAAAGGAGGTATGTACAAATTTCAAGGTGGTCTTTGAGTTTAATTCTCTGTAAAGGAAAATCATCATCATCCAGTATCATGAAACTTACTTGCTACTTACTGTAATATATTTTAAAGCACTTAAATTCTGAGAAAAAGTGATTGAAGCCTTCAACAGAAGCCCAAGGTATTTAAAAAAACCATGTGGTATTAACTTATATACTGAAAGCTTTTTTATGTGTGGTGCCAAGGCTTAGAACTCAGAGCTATAGGCATGGTAGCAAGTACTCTACCACTGAGCTACACTACATGCTCCCTCAGCCCTGCCCCAAGCTTTTTAATTCAACTGCATTCTCCAGACTTTGTGGTTCAATCTCCTGATCTAGAGTACTTCCTCCACATGCTGGGCCATTACTACAATCAGGCCACCATAGTCTCTCTTATCAGAACCATCACAAAAATGCCCCAACTGGTCCAAAGAACGGAGTAACTTAACTTTCAATGGACACTCAACACTATTAGGTAACCTACATTGTTACCCAAAAGAGTTTTTTATTCTCCAAAATGCTGTATCTTCTGTCTTTATTTCTGTCCTCTTCTTTCACCTATCAACACCAATGAGACATAGACATCATCACATGGGAACTTGAGACTCCCACACCAGATATGCACCCACTAGGATCCATGCCTGCCTCCTCGTTTCATTTCACAGTCATGGGGAAGTGGTAATTTCTCAGGGACCAGTCCCTCCACTTCTCTGGTCTTCATCTCCTCTCAGGAACTGCAGTCCCTCAGTTACCCTCTCCCTTCTGCGTCATTCCCGTTAGTACCACTCTCAGTTGCTTTTTACATTTTAACATTACCACTTACTAAGCACTTGCCATAATAAAGAAAAATTAAAATAAAAATTTAAAAAATTTTTTTTCTTTTTTTCTTTTTGGTCTTTTTGAGACAGGGTCTCCCTGTAGCCCCAGCTGTCCTGGAACTCACTATGTAGACCAGGCTGGCCTTGAACTCACAGAGATCTGCCTACCTCTGCCTTCTGAGTGCTGGGATTAAAGGTGTGTACCACCACGCCTGGCTACGATTTTCTAAATATAATGAGACTCTTCAACATCCATATATACTTAACACCTTGCTTCAACATTTATATTCTGTCAGACTGGCTTTATCTTTTCAAAATATATTATTTTACACAAAATACTTCAGTATTTAAAAATACAAGCATAACATCATTATCATACCTAGTAAACTGAACAACAATTTTTTTTAATGTTGTCTAATAGCCTGTGCTCACATTTTTTCCACGTGTCTCAAAAGTATCATCTGGTTGTTATGTGTGTCTAAGTTTCTTTTAATCTATAAATGTTCTTTCCATCTTTTTCTAACCTCATTCTTTCCTGGAGAACTTCTCCCCCATCCCCCTTTTGTTCTGGCTTTTTTTTTTTTTTTTTTTTTTTTTTTTTGGTCTTTTCAAGACAGGGTCTCCCTGTAGTCACAGCTGGCCTCAGTCTCAGAGATCCACCGGCTTCTTCCTCCTGAGTGCTGGGATCAAAGGTGTGTGCCCCACACCCAGCTTCTTTTCCTTCCTTAAAATAGAGTCTCTCTCATGTATTCCTGGCTGGCCTCAAACTCACTATGTAGCTGACGATGACTCTGAACTTCTGACTTCCTACCTCCATGTCCCCAGCAGTGGGATTACAGGTGTTTATCACCAGGCCCAGCATGTGTAGTACTGGGGATTGAACCCAGGGCTTTTGCACATATTAGGGAAGCACTCTACCAACTGAGTTCTATCCAAGTTCCGCCCCCCTTTTTTTGTCTTTTTTTTTTGGAGCTGAGGACAAAGTCCTCCCTTTTTATATTAACATGTTTCTCTAATCCATTTTTCTATGAAGTTCATTAACTCTAGAAGCAACAGTAGATTAATTCCAATTCTTTTGGCAAGAAAAGGTGTTGTGCATTTCCTACTAAATCACATGAAGAGGCCCATAATGTCAATCTTACCGTTAAATTAACATTTATGTGTCGTCATCCTCATCCACTCACCCACCCACCTACCCATCCATTTGCAATTGCTCATCAATTTTTCACCTATCAGTCTTACTCGCTTTGAGGATCAATGCATACGTTCACTATTGAGATCACAAAGTAGTGATGTTTTAATTCTATTATTCCTTTTTTATTTAATAGCTGGACTCTGGGTTGCTAGATGTATGCCTCAGTGGTAGAGTGCATGCCCAGCATGCATGAAGTTCTGAATTCAATCCCCAGCACAGGAAATAAAGTTATACAGTCTTTTCTTTGAAACATATTTCTCTATCAGCAATTATTTAACCCTGGAATTGAGTTTACCCATGGCAAAGGAAAATTAAGAGCAAGATTCAAGCATTTATTAACTTCCAAAATGAAAACTGAGCATTTATTAAAGTTCGGAATGAGTGATTTTCAGACTAGCAACATCTAAGGTGACCAATGATGTACTTTTTCAGTATTACTAACAGACATTGGTTATCTAGTTTATGCTAATTCATTACAGTGATTGTTCTTTTTCATAGCTTTCTAATCTTTGGTCAGTAAGCGGTCCTTCAAATTGGTTCCTCAATGCTTTTGTTATTTTGTCTTTTTTTTTTTTTTTGGAGCTGAGGACGGAACCCAGGGCCTTGCACTTGCTAGGCAAGCACTCTACCACTGAGCTAAATCCCCAACCTCTCTCAACACTTTTGATATGACTCAAGTATCTTCCAATGAGAGAGAGAGAGAGAGAGAGAGAGAGAGAGAGAGAGAGAGAGTGTCAGTCTGACTCTGACCCCAGGCTCAGGCTCATTTAACACATTTCCTGTACCAGTCCTGGATAAACGTTAACTGTATCCTGATGTAATGCTATCCTACACACCCACTTGGATACCTGTAAAAGCAGATCTTTTTCAGATCTTCCATGTATCTCTTGCAAATGTCCTGCAGAGGATCTTTCTTTAGTGGGCTTGTGTCCACTAAGTTATCATTCCAGGAGCCATTCCAGGGCTCCACACACTCTTCTATACACTTCAGAATTTCTTTATCATGAGGAGAGGTGATCTGAGCACCAGTTTCCCAATAAACCTAGATGAGAGGTAAATATGTCCAGTTACTTAAAATGCCTTAGTGTCTCTCTCTCTCTCTCTCTCTCTCTCTCTCTCTCTCTCTCTCGTTTTGTTTTTTGATACAAGGTCTCCCTGTAGCTCCAGCTGGCTTGGAACTCACTATGTAGACTACACTGGCCTTGAACTCACAGAGATCCACCTGCCTGTTTTGAGATAGGGACTTGCTATGTTGCACAGGCTGGCTCATACAATCTTCCTGCCTCAGATGGACTACAGGCTTGTGCCACCACTCAGCCAGGATCCGTTCATGATCTCTCTTCTCTTTACTCTATCCTGTCTCTTGGCTATGCATCTAAAAGGCGGGCTTCCAATGCTTCCTGTATGCGTAGTGACCATATTCCTGTATGTTCTAGTGTGTAGTGACCAAATTTCTGTATGTTCTATGTGTAGTGACCACATTCTTGTATGTTCTATGTGTAGTGACCATATTCCTGTATGTTCTACTATGTGTAGTGACCATATTCTTGTATGTTCTATGTGTAGTGACCACATTCTTGTATGTTCTATGCATAGTGACCATATTCCTGTATGTTCTAATGTCAAGGCGGGCTTCCAATGCTTCCTGTATGCGTAGTGACCATATTCCTGTATGTTCTAGTGTGTAGTGACCAAATTTCTGTATGTTCTATGTGTAGTGACCACATTCTTGTATGTTCTATGTGTAGTGACCATATTCCTGTATGTTCTACTATGTGTAGTGACCATATTCTTGTATGTTCTATGTATAGTGACCATATTCCTGTATGTTGTACTATGTGTAGTGACCATATTCTTGTATGTTCTATGTGTAGTGACCATATTCCTGTATTTTCACCATATTCCTGTATGTTCTAGTGTGTAGTGACCAAATTTCTGTATGTTCTATGTGTAGTGACCACATTCCTGTATGTTCTACTATGTGTAGTGACCATATTCCTGTATGTTCTACTATGTGTAGTGACCATATTCTTGTATGTTCTATGTGTGACCATATTCCCACATGTTATAATGTGTAGTGACCCCCAAATCATTAACTTCAGCCTAAATTTTTCACTTGAGTTACAGATCTCCACATCCAACTGCTCACAGCACATTTGCTAACCTGATTAGCTCACAACTATCCCAAATTGAACTCATGCTTCTTCCCTGCCCCTATGAATGGGTCAGGCCTCAAATCTTAAATTAATATTAACTCTTCTTTTTCCCTACTTAAAAACAGAACTCAGTGTGTCTGGAGTCCTCTCATACAAGAAAAGCATAAGAATGTGGGTTTATCTCCCAGGAGTCCCAAATGCAGCTTCAATATTGTGTATCTTCTATTTGCACCCCAGAACAACTTGTCACCCTTTGCCACTCTGCTTTTGCCAGAGAGGCTGGCAAAGCGAATGGATCCTGTGGCCACTGAGAAGCCTGGGCAGGTTGGAGGGAGAGGAAAGTGAGGTCAAGGTACTATTCCCCTGACTCTTCTTGTAAATTCCCATTCGTTCTTCCCATTCTTGGTACACAATGCGACTTTTATTCTGAAATGACAGAGGATAGATTTGGCATGGAACGGAGAAATCAAGTAAAAAGACAAATGAAGAGACTACTGTTACTTGTAGACAGTGGGTAATAGCTGCACATGAGGAAATAAAAAGAGCCATCAGAGGGGCTGAAGAGATGGCTCAGGAGTTAAGAGCACTGACTGCTCTTGCAGAGGACTTGGGTTCAATTCCCAGCACCCACATGGTGGCTAACAACTATCTGTAACTCCAGTTCCAGGGGAATCCAACGTCTTCTTCTGATTTCTGTGGGCATTGCACAACACGAGTGCACTTGCACACATGCAGGCAATACACTCATATACATAAAATAAAAATCATAAATAAAAATATTTTTAAAACGAGCCATTAGAGGTACTCATTCTGTGAGGCCAGCCTCAATGTTTTTATTTGTCAGTTTCCAATCTCTGGCTTTGCTCCTCAGTGTAGAAAATATACTTAGTGCATGTTATTCCAATAAAATAAAAGCTATAAAATACGCCAAGGTCAGGAGTCCAAGGCTTACCTTGTACCCATTGTCTTCCTTGCGGTTGTGAGATGCAGTAATCATCACACCTGCAACTGCTTTGAGCTCCTGGACTGCATATGGCTGAAAAAAATAGCATCACTAAACCACTTTGCTTGGAGTTAGTCATACATTTTACATGAGCATAACTTCGTTAAATAATATAAACATATTTAGATATAAATGAATTAAGATCTGTTTGATGGGTGAGGTACTTTTGTAAACTATGTAGTTCAACAAACATACAACCATCACTTTCAATGGCCTTTCTTCCCAGTCTCCTTTTGCTTATTGGTACAAACATTTCTTATTCTTTTGTTCATATGTGGTGCACATCTTTAATCCCAGCACTTGGGAGGCAGAGGCATGTGGATCTCTGTGAGTTTGAGGATAGCCTGGTCTACACAGTGAGTTCCAGGCCAACTGGGGCTACAGGGAGACCCTGTCTCAAAAATGCTAGAAAAAAAAAGAATATTTAATGAATACCTACTCTACGTTGGACACTTAACTGGACTAGAGATAAGAATGATAAGTTCAACCATAAATTGTTAGAGTTGGAAATAAACTTACATCAGGGTGGTATTGGCTGAAGACAGAAATAAAATTTAGAAATCACATCACATTTTACAGTTGAATCTTACTTGACATTATACAATCATTAGGTAGAAGAACAAAGAACACAGGCTTTTGCCTTACAATTTTATGATCTTTATACATACTCTGTGGCCTCTACATCACATAAGGGACAACCCGCCTTCTCTCTCCCAGGCTGGGTTTCTCTTTTTCTCTGTACTGGCTACTATTTCTCTTCCTTGGGTGTGTCCCCATTGCTTCCACCATCACATCTGACTATTCTCCAGGCCACAGGAGGTGGAGGATGAGAAGTGAGGAGGTAGGGAGGGGGTACATGTCCCAGGTCTGATCATACTACTATATTTGTATTTCCTTGATATGAGTCTAGAAACTGTCTCATAACCCAAGCCTTTCCCCAAGGTATTCTGGCCATACTGAGTCAAGATTACTTTTGATTTGAAGTCATGGCAATAAAAAGATGTGAATCTGGGATTGCTAAAATACCTTCCTTACCAAGTACAGCAACTCTATCAGTGGTAAGTCAGGAAAATCAACACACTGAGACACTGGGACTGATGTTAGCTGCAACTGGCAACTCAATGGCAAAATCTTACAGAAATAGCTGGATTTCTGAACCCCCCCCCCCGTATGTGTAGTGACCATATTCCTGGGTGTTCTAATGTGTAGTGACCCTCCCTCCCTCCCTCTCTCTCCTTCTCTCCCTCTTTCTCTGCACTGGGGATTGAACCTAGAATGTTATGCATGCAAAGAAAATGCAGTAGCAGTGTGCTACAGCCCCAGCCTCCTTTCTAGTTTCTATTTATAGGAAAGTGCACCCATGTCATGCAATGTCTGCAGAGGACAGAAAACATTGTCGGATTCCCTGGAACTGGAGTTACGGACAGTTGTTAGCTTCCATGTGGGTTCTGGGATTCAAACCTGGGTCTTTTGCAAGAACAACCAGTGTTCTTAACCACTGAGCTATCGCTCCAGCCTCCGGTGCTAATTTTTTTATTTGCTTTTTAGAAAAAGCAATTCCTTAATTCTTTGAGATGCTCAATAAATTTCTAAAAACTCTCACTATTATAGTCTATAGAAATGATCTATTCTTGGGCTGGAGAGATGGTTCAGCAGTTAAGAGCACTGACTGCTCTTGCAGAGGACCTGGGTTCGATTCCCAGCACCCACATGGTGGTTATGAACTGTCCTTAACTCCAGTTCCAGGGGATTCCGAAACCTTCTTCTGACCTCCGTGGCATTGCATGACACGGGTGCACTCACATACATGTAGGCAATACACTCATACACATAAAATAAAAATAATAAATAAAATATTTTAAAAAAGAAATGATGTTTTTTAAATATTTGGTAAAACTTTTCCATAAAATCATCTAGACTTGGTACTTTAAATTTGAGAATATTTTTTAAAATACCAAATTCAGTTTATTGAACAATTACAGGTCTGTTCATGTTTATTATTTCTTGTCAGTTTTCTTTTTAATTTTATTATTTTTATTTTATGGACTTCAGTTATGGAACTGGAGTTATGGACAGTTGTTAGCCATGTGGATGCTGGGAAACAAACCCAGGTCCTCTGCAAGCGCACTGAGTGCTCTTAACTACTGAGCCATCTCTTCAGCTCCATCCCCATTGATTTTAAGATGACTCTGAATAGTGTTAGTTTGCACAGCTGTCTTTATGGCCCTGCACGATCATACAAAAACTGATTGCTTGTAGTTTCCCATCTTTATTATGACTTTCCTTAATCCAATATCTTCCTTAATCCATAAATTATTTAGAAATAGGTTTTAAAATTCCAAACACAGGTTTGTGAGCTTTTATTTCTAATTTTTATTGCACTGGATCCAGTATATAGCGTAGTAAACAGTTCTTTGGCATTTGCTAAGACTTCCTTTGTGATTCTGCCTGTAGTGATGTATAGGCTATCATCTATCATCACTGAACAGAGCTTTTTACACATACAGCACAGCTCAACTTGTTAATAGTGTGTTCAGATGTACATCATCATTTCATTCTTGTCTTTCTGATAAATCAATTTCTTTTTTTTTTTGAGACAAGGCAGCTGGCCTTGATTTCATAGAGATCTGCCTGCTTCTGCCTCCTGAGTGTTAGGATTAAAGGTGTGGGCTACCACATCTGGCTTGATAAATACATTTCTGTTAAAAAAAATTTTTTTTTTGTCTTTTTAAGACAGGGTCTCCCTATAGCCCCAGCTGACCTGGAACTCACCATGTAGACCAGGCTGGCCTTGAACTCACAGAGATCTGCCTGCCTCTGCCTCCCCAAGTGCTGGGATTAAAGGTGTGAAAATTTTTTTGATTTATTTTTATGTATATGAGTGTTTTGCCTGCATGTATGCATGTTCACCCGTGTCATGCAATGCCCAAGAAGCCAGAAGAGGGTGTTGGATCTCCTGAAACTGGAGTTACAGACTTGTTAGCGGCCATGTGGGTGCTGAGAACCAAACTTGGGTCCTCTGCAAGAGCAGCCAGTGCTCTTAATCACTGAACCATCTCTTCAGCCCTAGATAAATTAATTTCTTCAAGAAGAGTGTGAATATCCCACCCATTGAGTACAGAGAGGTCCATTTTACAGACAAAGTTCTTAGGGGTTTCAACAACTAAATGAAAATAAGCTCAACGCAAAACTGTTTTCCCTTCTTTGGGTCCTCCTATCACCCAGCACAGAACCATACACGGCAACATCTGAATCCTAGTTGACCTAAGAAATCTTTTAAATGGAAGTAAACTGAATAATCACTGTCACAACATACTTACTACAAAAGGCGTAGGAACGTATCTTGAGAACAGGTAGACAGGAACATCTTTAGCAAGTAAGACTGCAGCTGTGAGCTTTGCAAGCCTAGAAGAGAGATCTCGCTTAGTCGTTAGGGACCCAGAGTTCAAAGCCAACCTTCCACATAATAAACGTTTCATAACAAAATCATTCTGAATACATACTAGCTTTATATTCTCCCAATTTTTTTGGTCTTTTTGAAACAGGGTCTCCCTGTAGCCCCAGCTGACCTGGAACTCACTATGTAGACCAAGCTGGCCTTGAACTCACAGAGATCCACCTGCCTCTGCCTCCTGAGTGCTGGGACTACAGGCGTGCACCACCATGCCTGGTGCTCCCTTTTTTTAATGTGTTCTGCCTTCATGTATGTAAGTGCACCATGTATGCAATGCCTGTGGAGGTCAGAACAGGGCATCACATCCTCTGGAACTGGAGTTATGGATGGTTGTTAGCTGCCATGTGGGTGCTGGGACCCAAACCTGGGTCCTCTGCAAGAGCAGCCAGTGCTCTTAACCACTGACTACTGAGCCCTTTCCCCCACCTGCCATTTTTCTTTTTTTGAGACAAGATCTTGCTTTGTAGCCCAAGCTAGACTGGAACTCACTATGTTACTTAGGTTTGCCTCAAACCCACAATCCTGTCTCAGCCTCACTATGACCAGGATTGTAGGCATGTGCTGTCATGCCTAGCCAAACAACTATAATCAATGATTATTTAAGCTTCATGCTCCAACTTCAAACTGTTGAGTTTTTTTTTTTCTTTTTTAAGGAAACCTGGAGCTGAGGATATAATTTAGCGGTAGAGTACCTGCTTAGTATGTCAAGACCCTAGGTTCATTCCCAGAGCCACACACACCAAGACCAAGACCAAAACAAACAAAAACCTCTAAACCTCAAAAAACAAGTAAAAGGAAAAGGAGCTGAACAATGAACAGAACTGACCCAATAATTCTCCTTATTTCTCATTCACCTCTTGAAGGTGATAGCTTTTTTTATTTTATTTTTTAAAGACAGGGACTCACTATGTGAAACTGCCTTGAACTCACAGGCATCCCCCTGCCTCTGCCTACTGAGTGCTGGGACTAATGCAGTGATATTTTTTTCTTTTTTAAATGTTTTTTTGAGACAGGGTCTCCCTGTAGCCCCAGCTGGCCTGGAACTCACTATGCAGGCCAGGCTGGCCTTGATCTTACAGAGATCCACCTGCCTCTGCTTCCTGAGTGCTGGGATTAAAGGTGTGGGCCATCATGTTGGGCTTAGTGAGCTTTTTAAAACTAAGAAATAAAGCTTACAAAAGGCTACAAGGTTTCAGCAAAGTAAACTAAAATAAACTCAGTTTGTACAATTACTCCATGTGCAAAAGCATCATGATTACCAATTAATGACAACACCCTGAAGCAGGACTACACAAAGTAACATACTTCTGCTCTGTGCCTATCCAAAAAATGTACAAGCTATTATATTGCTCTACATATGAACTTTCAATATTTTAAGGTTTTATACATCTATAAAACTAAAGCTTATCTTTGAAATGTTTTTTCTTTTATTTCAGCTAAAATTGTTCTTCAGTTTTTAAAAAAATGGGGCTGAAGAGATGGCTTGGTGGTCAAGAACACTGGCTGATCTTGCAGTAGACCCAGGTTACCAGCACCCACATGGTGGCTAACAACTCAGTTCCAGGGGCTCTGATGCCCTCTTCTGGCCTCCTTGGGCATTGCGTGCATGGGTGCATGTAGATGTATGCAGGCAAAACACTATATAAAATAAAAATTTTTTAAAGTTATAAAAAACGTTAGTATGTGATCATATACCTTTCTGGAGGTCTCCTGTTTCAGACTCTTACTACTAGAAAAAAATGTAAATATTTTATTTCATTCCAGTTTCATCTGTGAAATAACACTGTACCTCTGACTGCTGCAGCTGCTAGCTACTTGACCCCGAGTGTCATACCCAACAACAAAGCCTCTCTGCTTGAAGTCTGAAAAACATCTCTCCAGGTATTTGTACATCCCCTAAAGCAAATAAACAAAAGGTTAGTTCCCAATAAATGATTACATTTTAGTCCCCTGCCCCCTCCTTTAAAAAACAAAACTTTACACTTATTTATTTGGCAGGGGGGCATGGCCATAGCACACATGAGGTATTCGGAGGAAAACCTGCAAGACTAAGTTTTCTCCTTCTATCATGTAGGTTCTGAGGATCAAACTCTGGTCCTCAGGATTGGGAGCAAGTGCCTTTACCCACTGAGTTATCTTATTGGCCCCTATCCTCCTTTTCAGTGCTGAGGAAGAACTCAGGGTCTTAAGCACACTGGGCAAGTGCTCTGCCAATAAGCTACATCCCTAGCTACATTTTATAACACAGTTGCCTATTTTTGTTTGGTGTGCAGCTCATTGACTCGTATGGTCCTGGCTTTGGTGTTTAAGCCAATGCTTATTGATGTGGGAGCAATACTGCTTAATCCACAAGTAGGAGATGACAACAGCTCCTGGATCTTCAAGCACATTTAGTACTGCAGAAGTTCCAACTTAGTTACCACAAATTTAATATAATGCATAAAATATGAAAGGGAGAAAAAGATGGAAAATGAAAGTCAGTAGGCTAAAACCAAACCAAACCAAATTGTCAGCAGAGACCACAGAAACTGTTCCTTGCTTCAAGGCTCTAGAAGACAGACTTTTCACTGTCTTAGGTCCAAAGCTAACAGAAGTATTTTACACATTTATATCAAACTTTGTGTATGTGTGTGTGTGTGGTGGGATCGAGACAGGGACTCACTATGTAGCCCTGGCTGGCCTGGAACTTGCTATGTAGACCAGACTGGCCTTGAACTCACAGAGATCCACCTGCCTCTGCCTCCCAAGTGCTGGTATTAAATGAGTGCATCATCACACACAACTATGTTAAATATTTTAAATCAACAACATATTCACAGAAATATTTAAGGTAGTTGTGTCACTTGGAATTGGCATTTTAAAAAAAATTCCCATAGTCTAGAAAAATTTGCATAAAGGGAGACAACAAATGTAGTATTTCATATTGAAAATATAACAGTAATAAACTAAAACCATTTAGCTATTTTAGGAATGTTTCACTAACTTTAATAAACACTTTTACCTCTAAAAACCACTTCATATTTTTATAGTCCTTGAAAATTACTTTCTCAAAGATGGAAAATTTAATTCTTATAAGAACCCTGAAAAGAAACACAAATACTAATTTTGTCTTTCAATATTTCTTTAAAGGAATAATAAGATTACATTCCATGTAGCAACTTGCTCAAGAACATTGTTCAACTTTAAAACCAAGTTATTTTGACATATTAAAGACCTACTGTATTGTGAACACTTAGTAAGGATGAATCACTGGGAAGAAAAGCAATTTGTTTCTAAAATGAGTTGCATAAAAACAGAGAAATATAAATTTATTTTAACTTTCAACTGGTAGGAATCCATGTCTAAGTGAAATATTTTCTAAATATCAGGTTATATTTTATGAATGATCATGTGCCAAAAATGATTAATCATCTTCTAAGTTTGTTTCTTTGCATTAACTGGGCATGTCAATATTCATTTTTTAGATTTAGATTCAAAGCAATATTGTCAGGCTGACAATGTCAATCAAAGGACTCTTAATGAGCAAGTCTGTGATCTTGTAGATACATGACTTCTTAGATAAATCTTGGGTAAAACCAAGATTTTTGCCTTTTGTATTTAAGAGAGCAACTTCCTGAACAAAAAGCTTTCTATTGTTTTTAAAGAAGGGTACTACCTAATTTATAAAGTAATAAGAATGAGAAAAAGTACATATATAATAGTTTGTCACACTTACTTGTGTTGATTGTATTACTGTAAGGTCATTAATATAGCAAAACCCTGCACCCATGGCAGATCGAAGTCCTGCAGTCCCAAAAGTCATCCGGTAACAAAGACGATCTCGCAATTCCTTGTTCATCCCATTCTGCAACAGATTTTCAATCTGTTCTTTTGTCTTGGGATTCTGTTAAAAAGAAATTAAAGCTAATCAGGGTCATGGAGTGCTAATATTAAGCTGGTCTGAGGGCCCAATATGTAAAGGTCACTGACTTGGTTCTGTTTATTAGATTCCAAAGTATTAATATTAAAATTTAGTGTATACCATAAAACACAGCACTATACATAAAATATGTACTAAAAAGTATGTATTATTTTTAAAAATTGCTGTCTAGACATACACACTTTAAAATTTATTCTACAATATAACTTTTTCACCACGCATGGTGGTACACGCCTATGATCCCAGCACTTGGGAGGCAGAGGCAGGTAGATCTCTTTGAGTTCAAGGCCAGCTTAGTTTCCATATGGAGTTCCTGGCCAGCTGGGGTTATAGGGAGACCCTGTCTCAAAAAAGTATATTGGTACTTGCAAAGACATAACAACATATTAATATATAACTTAAAGTTTTCTGGCTATAGTGTAAATTAATGTAGGGAGAGTATCAGGGAAAACTAATGAGACGACATGTAAATTCTATTAACTGAATTGTTTTGTTTGCTTTCTTTGGGTTTTGAGACAGGGTCTCAATGTAGCCCAGGCTGGGCTCAAACTCACTATGTAGCCAAGGCTGTCTCTATTTCTCAAGGGCTGGGATTATAGGCATGTGCCTGCATACCTGGCTCTACTAACTGAAATTTTCATATGCCTTAAATTTGAAGGGTTTTAGTATAGATTCAAGGAGTTTCTGTTTTATAAATGGCACACACTAACAGGTATGGATAGCTATTAAGAGAAAAATATAAACATAAAGATATCTAAGCTACTAATAACTATTCCAGTGTCTAAGATATCATCAGATTTGAGGGAAGTAAAACAGACTTGGAGAAAGTTAACATCTAAGCTAGGTTTTAGCAAAAGTTGCATGTTTTCTGTGCAGAGATAAGCGCTGCCACAGTTGGTGAGGTTGTGGTTTGGGGCAGTCTTTTCAGGGTGAATTTGTATTAAAGTGTTGAATTTTAAATTACATATGGTTTTTGGATACAGAAATACTTTCACTTTACATGAACAAAAATATTTATGTAAACAAGAATGTTCACTGCTGCATTCTTACTGAGCATTATTACCACTACATAGATGAAAAAAACCTAAGATTTACAGAGGGAGCCCCCAAGGACCACTGAGCTAGTACTTAGAATTTGAACACCTTTGGCCAAACATTTGGTCTGGTTCTAAATACAAAACAATTGTATCCAGCAGGTTATAAAGTCTGTAGTAACAATTCAACTCCAGCTACAAAGTGAAAGGACATTCCTTTTTTACAGCTATATAAATACACAAATGATCCCGAGTAACTGTGAGCTCACCAAATATATTTGCTTATGTGAAACTGCATAAAAATTAGAGTAGGACCTAAAAGTTCATTCTGTGTTACGAATCTCAGATCTGTACTAACCTAATTCCTGGTTCTTAAAAAGCTGTAAGTTTGAGAAAAATAAAAATTGATAAATAATCACGAAGCATTAAATACAACTAAACCTGCATGGCAAAAAGAGTTAAGTGATTATGATGACAGGGATTTGAATTATTTAAATTCACATTTCTCTATTACCTAAGAGCTAGACATTAAATTACATGTTGTTACAAAGTTGGAAAAAAAATTTAAAGCTACGAAGTCATAAATATATTTTCCAGATAATAAAATTGTTTTGCATTTTTTGCTAAATATTTAAATATGATTTCAATAAACTGTAACATGCAAAGATCTAAATATGGGACAAATTACTTTAAAATACAATTTTCATGTGTATCTCAGATATAATACCTGAAAAGGCAGGCAGAAGAGGATAGAAAGCATTTTAATTAGTATAGAGAGACATATATGTATATCATTCAGACATATTCCATGAAAAAAAAAAAAAGAGACTAAAAATGCTGATTACTCCCAAAGGGGCTATGAGGGATGGAAGCCAAGATGAAAACACGACTTCTTTTTATTTCACAGCCATGGTACTATCTGGACATTTTTATGTGCATATTACTTTTTACTATAAATTATTTGTGATGGCAGAGAGAAATGATTGTGGGTCCGTGTGAGTACTTTCCACCTCACAACCTGCCCTTGTTGTATCATGTCCCTGGGAAGTCTATTTCATTCACTCAAGATAGTGAAACGACAGACAAAGAAATGATTCCACCCTAGTCCAGGGTGGCAAATCAATGATTTTAACTGGGATTTTTTACAGGCTTGGGTGAGGAGTTGCTTACAGGAGCACAGGCCATTTTGGGCAGCTACACTACTTAAGAAAGAATAGTTTCCCTCTCCAGCAGTTGTTAAACACTTACATAGCCTCAGGAAGGGAAGGAGGAGCCTCTGTGAGCCCTTTCCAGGAGGAACTGTGGGTAGACACAACCTTGTGAGGCTCTCTTGAAGATAATCACAAAGGTTCTATTTTAAAAAGGCAATGGACACAGTTCCACAAAGCCCTCTTTTTCCCACTCAAAGAAAGCTATTAATAAAGATTGAAAGCTGGGTGTGGTGGTGCACGCCTTTAATCCCAGCACTAGGGAAGCAGAGGCAGGCGGATCTCTGTGAGTTCTAGGCCAGTCTGGTCTACATAGTGAGTTCCAGGACAGCTGGGGCTACAGGGAGACCCTGTCTCAAAAAGACAAAGAAAAAAAAATATTGAATCTATCTATAAAACACATACTGTAATGTTCTTTTCAAATATTTTATTTTTTTATTGAGAGCGAGAGCGAGAGATGAGTGCACACACACACAGAGGTCAGGGGACAACTGGCAGGAGTCTTGGCGGCAGGTGTCTTTACCCACTGAACCATCTCACCAGTCCAGAACTTTCTTAAATGCAAATTACTGTTTCTTAAATGAGCTTTCTTATTTATAATTAATTAATTACTTGAGATTAGAAAAAAACCTGCCAGCAAGAAGGAGGAGGAGAAGGAGAAGAAGAAAACTGATCAACTGATGCTATAAAAAAAACAAAACGGGCTGGAGAGATGGTTCAGCAGTTAAGAGCACTGACTGCTCTTGCAGAGGACCCGGGTTCAATTCCCAGCACCCACATGGTGGCTATGAACCGTCCTTAACTCCAGTTCCAGGGGAATCCAAAGCCCTCTTCTGACCTCCATGGCATTGCACAACACGGGTGCACTCATATACATGCAGGCAATACACTCATACACACAAAATAAAAATAATAGCCGGGAGTGGTGGTGTATGCCTTTAATCCCAGCACTCGGGTGGCAGAGGCAGGCAGATCTCTGTGAGTTCAAGGCCAGCCTGTTCTATATAGTGAGTTCCAGGACAGCTGGGGCTACAGGGAGACCCTGTCTCAAAAAGACCAAAAAAAAAAAAAAAAAAAATTAACAAACTATTAAAAAAAAAAAAAAACCTCGGGGCTGGAGAGATGACTCAGTACTTAAGAGCACTAGCTGCTCTTGCAGAGGACCTGGGTTCAATTCCCAGCACCCACATGGTGGCTAACAACTGTCTGTAACTCCAGTTCCAGGGGATTTGATGCCCTCTTCTGACTTCTGCATGAACTGCATAACACAGATGCACTTACACAATGCAGGCAATACATTCATACACATAAACAAAAATATTTTTAAAACTTTAAAATTAAAGTGTGACTCTGTGGGAAAGTTATCTGATTTACATACTTTCAGAATACGCTTATTGACCCATTAAATAAGATAAAACTTACTTAAATGTATTAAATTTGAGCTAACTTTACTCTCAACTAGCATGTCTCACAATCCTAGTAATTTTAGCATTCCAAAAAAGTAATTTTACAGAAAATCTAAGGAGATTGTTTTCCCCTACACTTTATCAGGAATAAAGCTAATTGTTTGGTATAACATTGGTAAGCTAAGTAACACAAAATAAAACTAAACATTAGTCTGAAACTTTACTTATATGTCAAGATTTCCATTATGATTGCTGCATCTTTACAAAATGATGGGAAGAAGGTGTCTGCTTAACGCAGTACTTGTGGAGTTTGATTTTTCCATATTGTAGAACCATTAAGTCCAAATGCAAAGAAAACATGAAGTGATCTTTTATAGGCATTAGTTTTTTAAGTGTTTTACTAGCATATATTAATTATGTAATATATAATTATACAATAATGGGTTTCATTATGACATTTCCATATATGAACCTATTGTATTTCAATCATATTCTCTCCCCATTACTTACCTTTTTAACCTCTCCCACTCTTGTTGGTCCTTTAAGTCCTCCTACTTTCTTATCTGTCTATCTACCTACCTACTTACCCACCTATCTACCTACCTACCCACCCACCTACTCACCTACCCATCCATCCATCCATCCATCCATCCATCCATCCATCCATCCATCCATCCATCCACCCATCCATCCAGTTTTGGTGACCCAATTCTTTTCATTAGGGCTCCATATAGAAGCAGGAGTGAGGGTTTGTTTACTGGTGCACAGGCAGCTGACCAATCGATATACAACTGAAAAAATGCCTGTCTTAAGTCATTTTTTTTTTTTGAGTCAGTGTCTCTCTGTAGCCCCAGCTGTCCTGGAACTCACTATGTAGACCAGGCTGGCCTTGAACTCACAGAGATCTACCTGCCTCTGTCTTAAGACATTTTAAATATAAGTAAGTGTTTCTTTTGCCAGGCATAGTGGAGCATGCCTTTAGTCCCAGCACTCGGGATACAGAGGCAGGCGGATCTCTGTGAGATCGAAGCCAGCCTGGTTCACATAGTGAGTTCCAGGCAGGCTGGGACTAGGGAGACTATGTCAAAAAAAAAAATAAAATAAAATAAAAAGAGATATTTCTTTTAACAAGTTTAACTTCTTACAAGTTTTCATAGATGTGAAGAGTTACACTAGACTAAAATCACACCAATTCTGCATGTCATGAAACAAAGATTATCAATATTCACTTATATATGAATGACCATTTTAGTCTTGTCCAAGCTTTTGTGAACCTACTTTGTTCATAATTATGGACTTATGTATTATATATGTGC